AAAAAAATTAGAACCTTTTAAAACCCTGGTGGCATAGAGGTTTTGGAGCTCTGGTGGGATAGTGATTGCTGTGGAGTTTAGCACCTGGACTGTTGCCATGGGGGAACTAGGGAGCTCTCAACCTATGTGGTTTGTTAGGGTCCAGAGATAAGCTGCGCTCACATAGCAGCAACATAACCTTAAGCCACAGTTTTATTAAAGCACAGAGTCACTTCAAAAGAAATTAAGTGGGTCTCTCATACAAGTTGAGGACACCTTAAAAATAGATCAGATACACTTCACTCTAGGAGCTAGTTGGAGGGGAGGGTCCCCTCTTGAGTTGAGAAGGGACATTGTCTAGGGGAATATTTCTACTTTTATAAATGGCACTTTGAAAGGGGAAGAAGCCCTCGGGGTGTATCAGTTACTCATTGGACTGCAATCCATAGAGTTGGCAGTTGGAAACCACCAGGAGCCCCTAGGGAGAAAGATTGGGTTTTCCCCTGAAAAGTTAGTCTCAGAAACCTACAACTTTGTCATCAGTTGTTCTGTTCATCTTGAGTCTCCCACATTGTTTATTTCTGTTTTATCTGGGCAGAGGCTCCAGGTCAGCATGTCTCAGAATGTTTTGGGATTATCTCTGAGTACAGTCCTGTGTCAGGATTTTCATTAGGGCCTGGCTTCCAGGTTAAGGTTTGTCAGTTAGCACAGGTTCATCACTTGTTTCATGGGGTCCTTTGATCCTTTTAGCAGAAAGGGCAGAAGTCCCTGTTCTGTGCCTGTCAGGTACCGTTGGCCTACTAACTGCATGGAGATCACCAGCAGCTCCATGAGAGAAAGAGCTGTCTATTCCTGTGAAGAATTATAGTCTCAGAAACCCACAGGGGCAGTTCTACTCTGTCCAGTAGGGTCGCTATGAGACGGCCCCAACTCGATGGCAATGAATTTGGTTCTTACCTGTTCCATCTTCTTTACTATAAAAGTTTAATAGAATATTCTGCTATATTGCTTATTATTTTCTGCGAACTTCATAGAAAGTGTAAATCCCAATTGCAGCTGTCATGATAAGTGGAAGCGGCAGGAAGTGTTGTTGGGTTATTTTTCACATTCGGCGATTGCATGCAGACGCCAGAAGTGGGAATGGACAACCGGAAAGGTTATCAGAAATCACCGATTGCGGCCTAACAACTGCTAGAGGCAGCAAATCTGGGTCCCACAGCAGGGCGGGTTCAGGTAAAGAGGCCCCGCCTCCACGTTGTACGCTGCAGGTCCAGGTCCAGGACGCAAACTCCCATTGGCCAAGGAGCTCGGCCCCGCCCACCGGGGGGCCGGCCGCGCATGCGCGCGGGAGAAAAGCTGGCGCGGAGCCGCAAATCTGGGTCCCACAGCAGGGCGGGTTCAGGTAAAGAGGCCCCGCCTCCACGTTGTACGCTGCAGGTCCAGGTCCAGGACGCAAACTCCAAT